GGGACTTGGCAGTTGAGCGGAGTTGATAAACCCTACTTAAGAGTTTGGGGATGGAAATGTGGTTGCAGGAATTTCTACTTTTTAAAAATAAATAAATTATTTAGGATTATTAACTATATAAAACCCCCGAATTTTAGGGGTAAATTTAAATCTTATTTATAATTTAATTTTGTCTAGTTTGTCCAATCCCTGTTTTGTTGAGATAGTCAAGGGCCATATGTAATGAGCTGCAGATGCTGGAACTAGCTTGGTCCCCTAGAGACTTTGCAAGACTTTTCACCGAATCATGGGATATGTAACTAGTTGTGGTTGTTAGATGCCCATGATGCACCTTGGCATTTTATTGACATATTATCATGGTTGGTATTTTTCCCTTATCAAAACATTAAGGAACTTCTATGTGATGCAAACTTCTCCAAAACAATCTTTAACAAATGCAAAACATATTCCATAAGTAAAATATAAAAACATATATATCTCTTTTTATAGTAGTCTCGTAATAAATGCATAGGATATAACGTAATTTCCTTTACAAGTATTATGGAAATTAGTCTCGTTCACCTAAGGACCTATAAATGAAGTAATGTAAGGACCTCTTTAATAAAGACCATTGGATTAATCTAACGACATGTGGGAACACATATTTTAGCAACTAATAGATGGGTGACACGTGGAAAATGAATATTCTTTAGGTCAATTGATTGCCCTAATTAAATTCTATTTAACTAGGAAAATTATCTTTAATTTAATATAGAAATATCTCCCCAAATTAAGGATGAGATTTCCATAAAATCTCTTTGATTAATTCGAATCTCCAATTTATGGGTATAAATAATCCTAACAAAAAAAGGATTATTCTTCAAACCCTAGCACACAAGGAGCCTATAAATATATGGCTATACAAGACATTCAAGGTAACTCTTTCTCACCCAAAAAACCCTTTTCTTGCTGCCACTCTCTCTCTCCTCTCTCCCACACAGCTAAGTGCCACCACACATGACTAAGGCCACCCGACTCTCTCTGTGAGAGAAAACTTCATCTATTTTAGCTATTGTCTTATCTTTTTTAAGATCCAATTGAACTAACTTAGGCATTGGATGACCTTTGGCCAACACCCCCCATGTGTGATCTATTTACTCCTATTTATTTCACAGGGATTGAAGAAGAGAGAGAAGAAAGATCGATGGCCGATGAATCAACTAGCAAATATTCCCCGTGAGGAATTTTGCTGAAATATTTTGGTGCTTTCATTGAGAGCACGAGTTATACTAAATGCATGCTCTGGAATAAAAGGAATTCGTTTCCTCATTTTCATCGCTCAACCAAAGCCTTCCAAACAACCATGGTTGGAAGCACGCGAACTAGAAGCTGGGCCGCTGCAACAACCCAATCTGCGATGACCTTAGGTCACCAAGACGTCGCGGCTTTGAGGGCACCGCTGCTTTCTGTAGCTAAGGTCGTGGCCTAATACCACAGCACAGTGGATACCACCACGGTTCCAGCTGTTGCTGCCACTGTCGTCCCTCGAGGCATTGCGGTTAAGAGCTGTATTCCAGCGCCAACAACAAAGCCACCTCAAGGCCAGCACTGCCTTGCAACCCAAGGGACAGCAGCTAGCTCCAGCAACCACTTCCCTCACGATTTCACGACTAGGTCTGACGCACTCCACCATAACGGGGCCTCGATACATGGTACTGCGACCTCCAATCACGGCTTCCTTAGTGCCACCGTGACGCATGGCAGATCCTCCCATCTCGATGCTGCCACCAACTTAGGCCTCATCTTGGAGCAACATCATTCATTCCCTCATTTGCCTCCACGCTTGACGTATGTTCTTGCACACACCTCCAACGAAATCCTAGCTCGTATGCAATTGGGCTCCACACAATTCTCTCATCCTTATCCATGAAGTCAAGCAGACCTCAATGTTATAGTTGACGAGCTAACTCAAAGAGTAGACGACCAAAACAACTTGGTTGGATAGCTCCTTAACCAGATTGACTTGGTCCAAGACCTTGGCCTTGGACCATAAGGCGAAGAGAGAATGATAGACGAACACACCGACAGGTTGTTCGAGAGGTCCGATGCAGGTCGAGCAGGAGGAAGCAAACAATGAGAAGGACAAGAGTGTGCTCAGCCAATTGGCATGTTGCAAGCATCCACAAGTCCCACCTAAAGTAAGTCGAGTCTTCGATCGAGATTAAGTCCAAGGATCAATGTGCACGAGAGGTTGGGCCCACGATTTGATATTTATGCTTGCATGGGCCCATAAAGAAGCATTCTTGCAAGACTAGGCCCCCGAGAAGATCAGTCTCACGGTCATCCCCAAGAAGTACGGGAAGAAATAGGCCCACTTGCTCGGTCCCAAGAAGCCAACTCACGATGACAAACTACATAGGTTCCATCGCAAGCTTAGTCCACCAACCTTCCATGCAGGCAGGATAGTCGAGGAGATTTGCTTCGTAGAGATAATGAAGAGGTAAACAAACGACACCTACATCATGGAGGACACTGACATGAACAACACGTCATATAGGAGTAAGATTCGAGAAGTTCGTGAATGACCAATTTCGAGACTTGAAGATTGGAGGAGATTTCGAAGATGCTCTGCCCAAGGAGGTGGACTAAGTGAACTCCTCCCCATTCACCACTGAGATTGAGCATGCGACTCCACTAAGGTGATTCTCAACGACTTCTTTTACACACTTCAAAGGGGATTCCGATCTCGAGAGCAATCTGAAGCACTTCAAAAGTGTTATGATTCTCTATAAGGCTGAAGATGCGATGATGTGCAAGGTGTTTGCAATGAATTTACAAGGAGCAGTCTAGGATTAGTATCATACCCTGCCACCTGGATTGATCAGTAGCTTCAAGGAGCTAGCTTTCGTCTTCACCATGGAGTATACTTCTTATCGGACGATGAAAAAGAACTTTACTACCTGTTCAACCTATGCAAGAAGCATGACGAGTCCCTCCGAGACTACATCAAAAGGTTCAAGACGGAGAAAGCCAACATTGTGGGATGTGATGACTTGTATCGCGAGCTAACTATTTCTCCCAGCCAAACACTGATAGAGGTCTTTGCGATCGCATAACGCTACGCACTCTAGGACGACGATTGAATCTTCGCAAAGAAGTATGTTGAGCAAGTAGACCAATCATCCAAAGAGACAGGTCAGAGAGGTGATAAACCTAGCAATAAGAATTGTGGAGGAAAGAGCAAGGCACCATCCCAAGGTGGTGCACCAGGAGATGAAGGCTATACAAAGTTCACTATCCCAATACATCAAATCTTGGCTCAAGTGAAAGACAAGCCCTGGCTGAGGAGACCACCAGCTTTGAATAGAGATCATGACAAAAGAAGTGCCAACAAGTATTGCGCTTTTCATGGAACGCATGGGCATGACACAGCTAACTATCGATCTTGGAAGATGTACCTCGAAGAGCTTGTAAAAGAAGGCCATTGCACAGAGTTTATGGCAAAGAAGGCCATCCAGTAGATCTAGTATCCCTCTGCCATTAAGGAGCCCCTACAGAAGGTCATAAGGATCAACATAATCCTGGCTGACTCCAAGGAATTTGGACCGAACAGCAAGGAAAAGAATAGGAAGATTAAATAAGTCGATGTTATCTCCCAAGTCTTAACCAACTACCTAGCAATTGAAGACGATTTCGTGATCATCTTCCAGAAGAAAGATTTGATCGGGGTTGATCTATTGCACAATGATGCTTTCGTCATAAGCATCCAAATTGCGCAAGGCATGATCAAACGAATTCATGTAGACGAGGGTAGTGTAGCCAATATCCTACAACTTTCGATGGTCCAACAGATAGGAATTAAGGCCAAGATCAACAGATCAGCCAAGTCATTGACCGGTTTCAACAGAGTAACCACGATCACTATGGGAACGGTAAAGCTCGATGTTTACTCCCTACTAGTGATCAACGCTCAAACATTCATGATCATCGACAAAGTTTCCCCTTATAATGACATCCTGGGCAGACCATAGATTGACAAGATGAACGCCATCACTTCCACCACGCACCAAAAAATACGCTACCCAATCCCTAGGGGCGGTGTTGGCCAGATCAACAACTATTAGACAATGGCGAGAAAATGCTAAGCTCAAGGGCTAAAGAAAAGCAAGCAAGCGTAGTTCGTCCCTGTAAATCAAGCAGATCTGAAGGGAGCAAAACAAGCAAGGAATGAAGCAGATCTCGTTCGTGACAGTCGAGCAGACCAGAAGGGAAAGTGAATAGCCATTCCTCAATAGCATCCAGTAGATCTAGTATCCCTATGTCGTTCGGAGGTCTTCCCTGAAGAAGGATGGAAGCCTGAGGAGGACGTCAAGCTAGTACCTCTTGATCATGATAAGCCAAATTGAAAACCTCGGATCAGCTCGCGCCTAAGCCCAGAAGAGAAGATGGAGTTTATAGCCTTCCTTAAGAAAAATGACATGTTAGGCATCGATCCATAGATCATCCGCCACCACCTTCATGTCAACCCAACCAGCTGACCAATAGGGCAGAAGAGACGTAACTTTGCTCCTGAGCCAGTTGACATCATTGAAGTTGAGATTGACAAGCTCCTAGCTGCTAACTTCATTGAAGAAGTCTCCTACTCATAGTGGCTGGCCAATGTTGTTCTTGTGGCAAAGAAAGACCAAGGCAACTGGAGAGTATGTATGGACTACCGACCATAACAAGGTGTGCCCAGAAAACAACTTTCCCCTACCAAGAATTGATCAGCTCGTAGATTCAACTTCTAACAATCAACTCCTAAGATTCATTGAGGCTTACTCCGACTACAATCAAATCA